GAAAGAGTGGCAGGAGATGGAGGTGGAGAAGCAGGCAAGGACCACTGTGTTAATGGCTTTAGAGACCACACTAAGAAGTTTGGGTTTTCTTCTATATGCAAAGCCATCCAAGTGTTCTCATTTTTTCTAGGTTGGTCAGACCATACTCACAGTATTGTGAGTTCCTTCCCTCAACTTCACTATGAAAGGAGCATCTCTTAAATGAATACAGTTACTGCTTTTGCTCTCCATTTTGGAGGAATTGGTTGTAATATCATTAAAAAAAGAAAGAAAAAATACTTTTCATTTCCTTTCCCAGACTTTTGTGTCTGAGGGGCAGCTGTGTGTTTCAAAAGGAAACTACAGTTGACCCTTGAACAACATGGGTTTGAAGTGCGTGGGTCCACTTATATGCAGATTTTTTTTTCCAGTAAATGTTACTACATGATCCGAGGTTGGTTGAAAATCGCAGAACAGCAGATAAGGAGAAATTCCAGTTAGGGAGGGCCAACTGTAAATTATACATGGATTTTTGACTGCAAGGAGGGTCTGTGCCCCTAACCCCCAAGTTGTTCAAGGGTCAACTGTATATGTATCAAATTTTCAATGTTCCATCAAAAGGGCTTATAAGGAAACGTTCTTTTTTCCCCATATTTTGCAGTCAAATTGTTCCTCATTAAAATCAGATTGACTTCATGAAAGATCTAAAGTGTTAGGTTGATTTAAGAGCTGAGGAAATATGCTGCTAGTTCTGAAATTATCTCAGGTGTGATAGAATCTGGTGATGACCAAATAGAGCAACAATTGAAGAGTGGGAATGAAAAATTAGGTATTTATGCTACAGTGCCAAACGTTGTACTGTAGGCTTTAAAATGATAAATTACACTATTTCCAAAAGTTTGGGTATGAGCCATTCCTTTAGTAACTCAGCCAAACATGCTAACATTTTCTCTCCTCCCTTATTCATTTCTTCGATTAGCAGTTCCTATCTTTGCTTAATTGGCTGTACTATCAGGTTGGGAGGTGGGCTATCACTTTCAGTTTTCATTTAAATTACCTCCCCGATCTCCAACAATTCAAGCACATCAAGTCTCACAGTTCTATTCTAGTATTTTCACCCTATTTTCCATTAGAATATCGTTTTTAATAACCAGTACTTTTCAATTTTTAAAGAACGTATTCAGACTCACAGAAATTTCATTAATATCTAACCCGATGGATGCGGGTGAAAATTCCTCTTTTCTAAAACAACCCCCATCCACCCATTAATTTTTTTTTATTTGCAAATTGGTTGTAATTTCTCTAGGTAGAATCTTACTGCCAAATAGAATGAATACCAAGAGGCATGGTGTATAACTGTGTTTAATAAATGCAATAAGGCAGAGTTAAAATCCCATCAACATCACACAGAATCAGAATGTGAGTATTAGAAAAGACCTTAAGGACCATCTTGTACATCTTGTGTGTATGTGACCACCACGGCGTTTTAAGTGAAGTCAATAGTTTTCAGAAGAGGAAAAACAACCTTCAGTAAAACAAATCAAAACAACTGCAAAAAAAATGGTACCATTCTAACTAACTTAGAAAAAATGTGTTTGTTTCCTGAGGTAGCAGCATAGGGATGAATCTTAGGGAGGTTATCTGCCCTCCAGCAACTGTACCTGTGTGGGAGGGTGGTGGTGTAAGTAATCTAATGTCTTTTGCTGGGTACTATGATGGTATTGTTTGTGTAAATGTGCTTTAGGATCACAAAAGAGGGAGCAAGTGATTAATTACACTCCAAAAGTTACACCCTCAAAAGACAGGTGAATGGTCTTCAAGAACGACTAAGAATTACACAAGTGGACAAGAATGAGAGTATTTTAACCTTAGGGAACAGCAAGTGCATCTCTTACACCTAAGAGTTACAGATAAGAATCTACAAATAGATGTTTGAAAAGGGTCGCAGCAATTGACGCTTTTAAACGGTTGCACATTAAAATCACCTAGGAAGCTTTTAAAAATCCTGAAGCCCAGACCAATTAAAGTCGAATGTATTGGGGGTGGGGGTGGCATAAATATTTTTTAAAGCCACCCACCCCTCCACCGCCCAAGATTCCAACGTGCAGGCAAGGTTGAGAATCGCCGCTTTAACGCAGGAAGCAAAATTATTAAACGTGAATTTTGAGGGGGATAAAGTGGCAGTAGGGCACAGAAGACGAACTGAAAGTCCTTGGAAGGCAGGGCGGCTACTTCAAGGGCAGGGACAAGAACCCAGTGGGAGAATCAGCGGTAGAGGATTTAAGGGCTGTTTCCGTGGTAGAACTGCCAGGATTTGGGTGGGGATCGGTAAAGAACTCAGCATATATTCAACTCCGTTAAAGTGAGGTTATTCTGCCAGTAGCCCTGCTCCTACCCCTTATCAGATTTTCTCGAATCTTTCCGCACAGTTTAAAAAAAAAAAAAATGACGGAAACGTCTTCTATCCCACGAAAGGCGCATGGGCAGACTGTGGGCGGGGCAAAGATCTGAGAAGTCAGAAGCACGCAGCCGCAACAATTTGCGAGTCCAGAACCACAAGTCACAAACATCTGGGATGGGGTGGCCTCCCGGTCGTGTTGCACCCACCAGGGGAGCGTTGATCGACACCTCAGCGCAAATTGGAGCCTTTTAAATCCCAGAGGGCGGAGAGGGAAAGGGCGGGGAAACCGCTGACATTCGCGCCGGCCCCGCCCTCACACCCACTTCCGGCGGCGCGCGGCCCCCGCTTCCGCTTTTCCCGCCAGCGCGCCGGCCCCACCCCACTCCCACGCGCCCCCCAGCGTCCGGGCGCCCGACAGCCGGGAGAAAAGGCACAGGTTGCTGTCGGAAGTCCCCCTTTGGCTCCCTTTCCGTACTGCCTAACAACTTCCGCTTCGGGCCGTCAACATGGACGCTGCGGCTGCCTGGCGGAGCTGCATCTGATCGGTTGCGGGAGCGCAGCTTCTCTGCGGCGCCCGCCCCGCTTCCCCGCCCTCACTCCTCCCCTCTGCCCCCTCCCCCCCCC